TGTCCATTTGGAATTCGTATTTAACCGGAAAGTGACGGATCCTTGTTACCGATTTAACTTTCATCTGGTTCTCGGTAGCGATTTTTTAAGTGAGTATTTTCGCAACTTTGCAGACTCTGTTTGAAAATAGTGACATTACTACGAACGAAAATGACTGTTTTGTGAGTAATTTTCCGCAGCATAGGTGCGTTAGAGGCTGGTAACCGTCTATAGCTGATAGTTACTTTTATAGACAACAGGACCTCTTGCCATGTACTTATATTTGTACTTGATTTGGCTGCACTCATACTTCATATATCCGCCCCCAATTATGTCACAGACGATACCTCTCCACACGTCACGATTAACGGCAGCTTATCTGGAAAGTTTCACCCGTTATCTTCTCTAGCGACGGAGAACGAAAACTGAAGATCCAAGAACCGCTACCATGTCTTGACGGTGTCCAGCCAAGTTTTCAGTTGCCCTGCTCTTCGATGCCTCCAGGAGGACTGTGGCGTCAGATCGATGGCAGCATAACAAAGCCCAATGGGATGACGTCAGAGAACGTTCCTAAATCACCTCAGTCGTCTTTCTTGGATGGCCTGAGATATCCTCACGATAATTGCTGTGAGCGTGGACTGTCTCCTTTAAGACGAAGTCGGTATTCTTCACTCGAAATACGCTGCTCGGGTAGCAGTGGTCGAAAAACTCCAGCCATCGCTCATCTTCAACGCACAAAGCCTAGCACTCATGACCGTAGAAGACGGTTGACCGACCGGATGCGCGGTAGACATGCATCTTTGTGGTGATGGAGATGCCGTGTCGGATCCATAGGCGCTTCCGGTGCATTTAGAAAACCTAGCGAGCAACATCGATTCAGCAGACAATGTCCTCCTTACTCTGTCCATTCGATGTATTTAAAGCTTTCTGCTTTTTCCAGTTGACGGCCATAAATCCGCGGGTATGTCTTCTCCTGGTCATGTCTGTGCTGCTCAAGAATTATTTTGGCTTTCCGGTATTTATGGACCAGCCAACTGACGTACCGGTGAAAATACAGACTGTAGTTCACCATGACTTGCCATGGGGCTTGACTTCCAGCACAAACTTTCCCGAATCTGCCATTCTTGTATAACAGCCACCCACCTGAAAGATAAACACAATCGGTAGTGCTGCTAAGGAGGATTTTCGCTGTCGACTGTTGACAGCTGTTTGTCTGATACTTTTTTCTGACTTTATGACGAGTTTCGTCGCATCTGTGGAACAGCCTCGCCCATAGTCTGCTGAGCCTAGGTAGAAAGACACAATTAAGAGGGTTCGGGACTAAACACTTTACGGTTTTGGTGATTCTTCCTCGGGTGCGCACACATGGTTTATGTGCTTGAATGGGTGTACTTAGTTTAGTATGTGTCAGGGATAATAGAAATATCCATCGAAAACCGCTATTAAAAACGCAACAAGTTTTAACTGGAACGAAACGTACTACATTCACACATAGTACTAGTTAACCTGTGCCGAACAGTCTGGAGGAGGTCCCACTGTGACGCTAATATCGCCTTACTGGCTTTCAGCTGTGGTGGTCTGAAGTCCAGGTTTTCACGGGTGGATACGGTCGCTAAATTGGTCGGTTTGTCTATAAGTTATCGGAGCACCCAATATGTTTTTCAGGCTGCATCCTTGGGTCTAGGAGAAGACACTTCTGGCAATTGATGGCTGTCAACTTGAAGTAGTAGACAGTTTTAGATACCTCAGAGCGAGGATGCTGCCGAATGAACAGAGTCAGAACAACGTTTTCTATCGAATCGGTGCTGCTCATCGAATTTTCTCCAGCTTTAGAAAGTGTCTGTTGATCCGTCAGAAAGATAAGCCTATAATGTGCATCTACGGTTGTGAATGTTGGGATTTACATGTGGAATATGAGCAAAGACTTGAGGTATTGGTACCTCGCTACCTGCGGATCCTTCTTCGAGTGAAATACACCGATTCCATCTAAAATGAGACAGCCCGCACTGGTTGCGGCAAGATCACAAGGGTATGCCATGCCACCCAAGAAGGGCAAATTAGGTAGTTTGAGCACTTTATCGGTCGTGCGCCTTACGAGTTGTACTGACCTTGATCCGGCGCCGTTGCCTACACGAAGGCGTGGAAGAGGAGGTCAACTCATAACTTGGCTCGACAAAGTTCCTCAGAACACGGAAGCGACTCCTGGACCTTCTGTATTCTGTCCCCGCAGCTGTAGAAGAGAATGAGTTGAGTTTTCCAAATCCGCTGCCGAAAATCACGCACGGAGAAACACAGTCCGTGATATCACAGAGTACGGCTAGATCACGTATGCTCGCAGCCGTAACAAGTATAACTCCACTTGTGCTTGACGCCTCTGTAATGCCGCAAGTTTGCACGGTGCCTGGCACCTCACCTCCCCTCTTCACACACTTGTCGTGCTTCAGCTCCACGACCGAGTTAAAAAGGCTAATCTTCGGCGCTCCAGGATTGACTGATTACGATCAATTCGAGTCTACATCGGCCAGGCAGATGCGTATACCCGATTTTGCAGGAGCCACTCTTCAGTATGTCTTCAGTCATTTGGCAATTTGCCAAGTCGTTAATTTTCCCACGTGTTGATAATTGGTTGGACTGTTGGTAAAGAGGAACCTTTAACTTCTAAACAGACCGCGTGGTAGATGCGGCGGACTAATAGGGGGACACGAGAAGTGTCATTCGGGTTGCGCTCCCATAACAACTGCTAAACATGGGTGAGGGCATGGCGACCCGCGTGCATGCA